GAAGAGCGGAAGCACATTCCTGAGAACTCAGCGATGCCCACTGGGGTAAGCCACGCTGCTGCCCCCAGCCCGGCTCCCAGGAGATCTGGCAAATACCCCAGCTCCTCCACTTCCGGCCATGGGACCTTGGGCGGGTTCCTGACCTCAGCAACCCTCGTGGTCCTCACCCGCACCTGCCCAAAGCACCGGAAAACCCAGTGATCAAGATCTATAATGCCCAAATGCAAGATTTTAAAAGGCAAAATTAATGCAAAAAAAATACACGATGAGCAAAAGACCAAAATGTTCAACATGGACGGAACTCAGCCCTGCCCCTGGGCTGGCATGATGCCCCTCATCCCTTCATCCCCTGGCCCCTCACCCTCATCCCAGCCCTGCCGTGTTGGCAGGTCACTGCTCCAAGCACAGGCGTCACAGCCTGGCACTGTGTGCCCTGCCCCATGGACCAGCCAGGTGGATTAGAACGCAGGCTTGCCCACTTTCTACCTGTGTGATCATGGGCAAGTCAGTCAATCTCTCTAGGCCTCAGTTTCCTCATAAATAAAATGGGATGAGAATAGTATCTGTCCCTCAGAGGCGAGGGAGGATTAAGTGAGATGAGGCATTTAACAAGCCTATACAGCAAGCTCTCGGCAAAACTGACTGTCTGTGAAAATAATCAACAAATAGGAGTTAAATGTGCTACAGCCTCTCTCACATGACAAGGACTTGTACAAATGAGTATTGTTTCCATCACAAGGATTTGTGAGCATTGGGAGTTATAACCCTATGCTTTTACCTCTGGGACAGTAGACAGTCACTGGGGACCACGGGGAAAGTGCCAAGCAAGCCCTTCCATCTCCAGTGTCAGACCCTCTGCACGAAGCACAAGACATTGATCAGGACACAGCTGAAAGTTTATGATGCCACAGGGAACAATATTGTTATTATGACTACTGATGCTCTAATCATTTATTTCTGCACTATTTTGAACTTTTTCCCAAATGCCTTGTATTCTCTGATGTCCCTCCTTTTTAAAAAATATTTGAAACTGTCTATGAGAAACCAGCCAAACCCCCCCAGAATCATAAATGGGGCATTGAAGAGTCATATTCTCTAAACACGCTTCCTGCAGACTGTAAACCATACCCAGCTGGAGACCACATCAAAGACACATGCCCGGTCTCTCTGTCCCCAGCACACAGAAACTCCTCAAGAAGTTTGCAAAACAATGAAAACAGCTCACTGTCAAGTAAGAGTCTCTTAGCAACAGCAACTTGCTTTTCTTACCTAGTGTTATTTATCAAAGACATGATTTGTGAAAGGATTGTTTACATAGAAAATATAAATATTTATCTATACCTGTGGCTTAAAGCAACCTGTACAACCTATAGCACTGCTCCTTGTGGTTCTTTGTGTAGAGACTTTGGGAAATCAGCTATAAAGCCTGACAATCCCCTAGCCTCATTACAAAGCAATTTGTCCTTCCTGCTTTCATCACAGGCACGCACGCAGAGGGTGGGTGTGAAGCTGCGTGGATTTCAAACACGTTGCAGCACGGTGCAAACACCAAGCCAGGTGGTTAAGAGGTAAGAGGGGCACAGCCAGTCACCTCCCCAGTGGCCACGGGACAACAGTATTTTGGAAGCAGGCTTTGTACGGGAGTGTAAATGCTTACGTTATAAATACCGCTGGTCCAGATTCTCACAATCAACAGATTCTTGTTTTCTCTCCACCTCCCCACAAAGGAGTAAAATAGATCTTAGTGTTCTGCCCCAGATGACATAATCCCTGACCAATTCAATCTCCAATACTGGATGGGGAAATTTAAGCCCAGAAACGGCTCCATATGCCACAAGCAACCCAAGACAAAGCCACAAGGAAAACCACCCACCCCCCAAGCCCTCTAGACTAGGCTAAGCTCCGGATCTACACAGACGCACACATCACACTTTTCTGAGAAGTCTCCTATCTCTGCCCTGACGGGTCACAGCTGTTCAGAGGGAGCACCCGGCTTTGCAAAGGAGCCGGACTTGCCCTTCTGTTAACTGTGCCCAGTGCCAGGGCTGCCCATTCCCAACACACATCTGGACAAGCATCTGGAACGCTGGAATAGGATTCATCCTGTGGACCCGACGGCTTGAGAAAGCTCCTGTAGATGCCCGAAGAGACTGGCGCCCAGATGGTTTCTGGATGAAGAGTCACCGTTGTTTGTAACTTTTTCAAATATCATGAGTCTTATTAGAAAAATGCCAAATCTGATTCATAAACCTCGTCCTGCACTTGGAACTTGAAACCTCGCTTAGTCTTTGGCTCTGGAGCAGGACTGACTGCTGACCCTGGGAGAAGGCTCTGGAGGCTCTGACTTCAGGCCTGCTTCATGGAAATGGATCCCCATCAACCATAAAATCACCTTCTTTCTTCCTGATTGTTCATAGAGTCTTGTGATGAGAAAATTTACCTGCTGCGCTTAAAATAAGACCCTTGAACACTTACCATGGGAGAAGCTGGAACACAGCCCAACCTCTAGAACACCATGGCCTACTTGCTTTAATGACAGCCATTCCAAGCAGCTCACCTGAGAAGGTAATTGTAAACCTCAAGATTACACCAAAGGTGTAATTTTATGTGTAGACTTGACTGAGCCACAGGCCACCCAGACATTGGCTCAAGCATTATTTCTGGATGTGTCTGTGAGAGTGGTTCTGGTTGAGATTAACGTTGCAATTGGTAGACTGAGTAAAGCAGATTGCCCTCCCCAACTCAGGTGGGTCTCACGCAATCACTTGAAGGCCTGAATAGACAAGAAAGGCTGACATCCCACAAGGGAGAGAATTTCTCTTGCCGGACTGCCTTTGAGCTGGGACCTCATTCTTTTTTTTTTTTTTTCCTGCATTCAGACTAAAACTGAAATCTTAGCTCTTCTTGGATTTCAAGCCTGTATGTGTGCATACACACACACACACACACACACACACACACACACACACACTTGGTTCCATTTCTCTGCAGAACCTTGCCTACTCCAAAAGGCCATTAGCAAGAACCCTCATACATGCATCAAACACCAGTTTTGACACAACGAGCTGAAGAAATTACATTTCAAATAATCAACTCTCTGAGCCACAATACCTTTCACAAGAAAGGAGTACTTTCTGCTGTTTCACTACTGGACATGTTAATAAGGGAAAACCAGGACTTGTGAGAAGTTGAAAGAGACTCAGCCTCATCCATGGCAGAAGGTGACTGGCTGTGCCAGAGAGAAACCACATGTATGATTGGAGTTGCGTGGGGAGGGATGGGTGGAGGGGGCCTCACCTCATGTATTTTTCAAATTAAAAGGTGAGCCCTTCCTTTACTAGCTGTGTGTGAGTCAGAAGCTGGGAGATGCATGAATAGTCGATCAGCATTTCCCGCAGACCCTTAGATTCCCAAGCCTCACTGTCCCGGGTCAGAGAACAGAGACACCCTGCCTCGGAGAGGAAGACGTGAGATAAGGGGAAAACAGATTCGTTCAAAGCCTACATGACCTCACCGAGTCCTGCTGTCTCTTCTGAGTGTGGATGCTCTAAAGCATCTTTTCTGATCAGTAGCAGTCCCTAAGAGTTGAGCTCCTCCCGGGTGCCAGCTAAGCAATTTACATGTAAGATCACATGCAAAACATATAAATCACCCTATAAGGCAGTGCTGTTATCTCTGTGTTCCAGACGAGGAAACTGAGGCTCAGAGAGGTCGATCTCCCCAGGACCAAGGACCAAGGGCTGCTCCAGCACGAACCTCCCTGGAGGCTCACCTTGAACCACCTCATGCCGGGCAAGAGGCAAGGTGCCAGTTCCCCCACTCACTCCCTCTGCAAGCCCACTCCACGCCGCCACTAGACTCCGCCTCCACTTATCTTTTTTTTTTTTTTTTTTTTTTTTTG